AAACAAAAATGCAATATTTTAATTTATAATGTATGAAAAGAAAAGAAATCCACTTCCAGGTATGAACCATTCAGAGAAAAAGTAGAATAAAATACATTCGCTGACAATAAGTATTATAATGTAAGCCTTACTCTTTTTACGTGGTCTATTTTATGGTAGACAGCATAATTTTATTTCATGGGCTAGGCCTACTATTTTAAAAAATCAAAACTAAGGATGTTTTTTTTAAAAAAAATTCACAAAATATTTTTCACCTATCGTAATATGGAACGGGGAAACATAGAGAGGTTGTTGTTGTTTTTCGAAAACCCGGGCAACGCCGGGTAACACTGCTACTTAAAAATAAAACTGGCAAACTTAACACTTTTGCTCCTCCCCCAGTACCTCAGCGGTAAGTCTGAAGGCTTATAACACTATAAACCGAGTTTCGATACCTGTGGTGAGCACAGCACAAACAGCCCTTTGTGAAACTTTGTGCTTAATAACAAACACATTAACTTTTTCAAGGTGGGATAGGTAAAAGTTACCCTACTAAGTGGGGTATGTAATGAAGTAGAACCTACATAGCAGTGGAGATAACACTAACTAGATATAGCAAACATAATAAAATGTTAAATAAATGCATAAACAACAGAAGAGAAGGTTTATAGAAAATTGCCAGAAGTTGTTACTGTGAAAAAATATGCTACTTCAACTACACCATGCCTGATTTGACGTTCACCATAACTTTTGTTTGTGTTTAAGTGTAAAGCTCAAGTTCTCACTGCGGGTATCGAAACCCCGATTTTTTAGCGGTATAAGTCCGTAGGCTTGTCGTTGAGCCACCTTGGGGTCGTTCACCACAACTGAAGATCACTCTTGGTAACCACCACATGGATATTACGTAGCACGTGTGGTTAATTATGATAATTCATATAACAGCCCATTTCAACAGCTCAATGATCAGAGAGGAGGGAAGGAGTATCACATTTCTTTTTAAGTTAAATAGTAAATTCAAATTTATATTATTTAAAAATTAGTAGCAATTATTGTCTTTGATATTTTTGGTTTCATTATGTTATTGATACAGATGCGTGATTACCATGTGGTTAGAATGTCAGTTTCCAGAGAGAAATGCTTTACTTACCACTACCATGGTCCATTTGTACTAATCTACTTTATTTTTAAATTAGCTTTTTTTGAAAAGTATTTAAGAGGTAGGACGTTGTGGATTTGAACACTCATACTTTGAAGAACTATTTTGTATTTCACATGTAAGATTTGTGTATATAGGATAACATTGATGGTGGATCCTCACAACTGTGTAAATAATACTTTTACAGATATATCTTTTATCAGGAGCGCAATGCTTACTATATACAAACGATAATCAGACTATTTAATATTACAGTTATTACAATGCATGGCTACTGTTATAAATTAATGTTAATCATTTTATAATATAAAAGGGAATATGTCGTTATACAATGGTACTAACATTTTAATCCATTACAACCCTTAAGCAACGAGTAAAAATATGTTTTTATCAAGTTAACAAGAAATCATTACGTGGGAGACACCTTTTATATCCTGAAAGTATTGTTAAAATTAACTTCAGAGAGCGAAAGCAGTCATTCAGTTTAAACCAAGTACGTTATTTACAAGACTTTAGTAACAAGTCAAATCATACTATATAGATGATCAAATGACTTCAAGTGTAAACTGACATCCAACGTTACGATATTATATATATTTACTATAAACATTAGACTGAAAATGGATTTCGTGAAAGCATAGTCATCCGAATTCATAGTTTAAATAAAGGATTAAATGAATATTTTCATAAAATAACAACTTCATAAGGGTCTGGTAAGCTTAAATAACATCAGTATAAGCACAGTTATTGGGGGCCTTACTAAAATCTTGAACAAATTATGACAAATTATATATATAAATTTTGGTAAGTTTAAATGAGAACACTTATATAGGCGCTGCTTTGACGGCATTATTAAACATTTTAATAGAATAGACTCCCATAACGATCGGATAGGTTGTAATAAGAAATTTAGAGACACAGTTCTAATGGACACGTCATTATTTGACTAAACGGGATTCTGGAAGAACTTATCAGGTTTAAATGAGTACAACTACATAAATACAGTTGTTAAAAGTTTTACCTAACCTTTGGATAAATTACGTTAAAAACTAGAAAATTTATAGATAAAGTTCCGACGAGCTTACTAAATATTTTAACAAAGTACAACTTCATGTGGATGTGGTAGATCTATATAAGGCTATTTATAGACATAGATCTGAGGAGCTTACTAAATATTTTAACAGAGTACGGCTTCATATGGATGTGGTAGATCTATATAAGAGTATTTATAGACATAGATCTGAGGAGCTTACTAAATATTTTAACAGAGTACGGCTTCATGTGGATGTGGTAGATCTATATAAGGCTATTTATAGACATAGATCTGAGGAGCTTACTAAATATTTTAACAGAGTACGGCTTCATGTGGATGTGGTAGATCTATATAAGGTATTTATAGACATAGATCTGAGGAGCTTACTAAATATTTTAACAAAGTACGACTTCATGTGGATGTGGTAGATCTATATAAGAGTATTTATAGGCATAGATCTGAGGAGCTTACTAAATATTTTAACAAAGTACAACTTCATGTGGATGTGGTAGATCTAAATAAGGCTATTTATAGACATAGATCTGACTACCAAATCGTCATGGAGTCGTATTTCTTAAAATATTTAGTAAGGTCGTCAGATCCGTGTGTGTAAATACTGTCATTTTTATCTACCAAATCGTCATGGAGTCGTATTTCTTAAAATATTTAGTAAGGTCGTCAGATCCGTGTGTGTAAATACTGTCATTTATTTACCAGATCTTCCTAAAATCGTATTTTGTTAACATAATTAGTAAGATTGTCGGAACTGTGCCATAAATATTATAATTTAGATCTACCAGATCTTCATGGAGTGGTATTTTGGTAACATATTTAAGATCCTCATGAAGTCGTATTTTGTTAAATACTTAGTTAGATCTACTAGATCCTTATAGACTCATATTCTGTTATAATATGTAGTATAAGGTTGTAAGTCCCATGCTATAAATACTATAATTTAGATTTGCCAAATCCTTGTGATGTCGTGTTTTCTTAAAATATTTAGTAAGCTCCATAAAAATGACAGTATTTACACACACACAGATCTGACGACCTTACTAAATATTTTAAGAAATACGACTCCATGACGATTTGGTAGATAAAAATGACAGTATTTACACACACAGATCTGACGACCTTACTAAATATTTTAAGAAATACGACTCGATGACGATTTGGTAGATAAAATGACAGTATTTACACACACAGATCTGATGAACTTATGAAATATCTTAACAAAATACGACTTCATGAGAAATGAGAGTATCTATATGCATTGATTTAAAGAACTATTTTTTGTGTTTATAAATTTGTCGCCGCGGTATAGCGGCTAAAAGAACGACTCCAAGTTTTTTTGTTGTTTTTTTTCACGTACAAAGTTTTAGCTCATAGCTCCGTCATCTCTTGGCCAATTTGAGATCTAATTCCAGTTTTGGATTCATGAGGTCAAATTATTTTAGATTGATATATTTGACCACGCCCGAGAGCTCAAAGAATTATTTTAATCTAATCCTGCCTAAAAGAATTTCAATTTAAGGTTGGTATGGATACTGATGAGCAATAAAATTGAGTCGGGTAAACACGCGCCCCACGCTTGATATCACTGGCGCACAATATAATAAGTAATATAATAAAAATGAAAAAAAAAAAGGTCTCATAGATTAATTTACTCTAATCCTGCCTAAAAGGATTTCAAATGCTACGGCTATTGAGGATTTCCTCTTGTTTTCTCTGCAAAATAATTTCTAAGATCGATAGCTAATCTCCCCCTCTGGAAATCAAGTAAGCTAACCATTAAAGTATTATTTCGTGATATTTGAATAATAATAATAAAGCTAAGTTTTCAGAATTCTGATAGAACTGAAGCAATAACGGAAATTCACTTAACATGTTGTATTCGCGTATAGTTCAGTTCTTCTAAGTAGCCCCCCAGTGGCATGTCTGCGAACTTCAGCGCTAGAAACCGGATTTCGATACCCATGGTGGGCAGAGCACAGATAGCCCTTTGTGTAGCTTTGTGCTTTATAATTAACATCAAACATCTTCTAAGTAATTGGCTAAGTTTTTGGAAAGAAAAATTAATTGTACTTAATCATTTGTTTTATAATTTTTGCGCAAAGCTGTACAATGGATCCGCGCCTAGCCGTCCATAAAGTTTAGACTCGAGGGAAGGCAGTTAGTCATCAGTATTTTAACTAACTCTTTGAGTACTCTTATCTGACTTTTATTGGTATTTTTGAGGCCACTTTTATAACGCGTCCACGGATCCTAAAAACAGGTCGCGTTTATGATGCAAGAATTTTAATTGTAAACCCTCCACACACTATCCACTTGGCCATGCCCATCCTATTTATTTAGGGCTTACTGTAAAGAATAAACAAGTATTTAGGTTTTTCATTTTACCTTTCTATGTAGGAAGTATTTCAAACATCAGCTTTTATTATTAAACAATTTTCACACAAGTGTAATAAAAAAATAAACATTTCGGTCGAAGTGTCAGTAAGTAAATTTCTCCCCATGTGAAACATTCTTTCTTTTACAGCTAGAATGAGATAATGATGTTACCGCGGAACCCACGGAATTAGACCTTGATGTGGCTAAAAGTAAAAACCCTTTGGTTTATTATTATTATTATAGCCTTAAAACTTAAAAAATAATAATCAGGTATGCAAGAAATGATATACTGTCCTTGTTGCTCACGTTAATATACGAGTATTTCATATTATAAGGTCTAGGGAAACATGAAAATTATGACAACATAAATTTTCAGAATTTCTTTCTCTACAGCCTTAAAAAGTCCTTGAGCGACTACTGAAGAATTAGCATAGCACTTACCGAGAACGCGGCGGTCGGACGGGGGATTCGTCGGTAAGAAACTCGGCGACCTTGTGGCTTTGTCGTAACATTTCTTTGACTGTGTACATTGGAATTCAACTTAAGAAGTGTCAAACAACAACTTTAAAAAAATAATAGATGCCTCTGTTAAGAAAAATCAAACACTAGGTTCGAAAATTTGATGGAAAACAATAGGTTGTTTATGAAATATTCCTACAACTGCACAGATTCTTCACAGTACACGTGCAATAATCACAGCAAAATCATCGTGAAAGTCGAAGAACACACCAAGTTTCTAATAAAAATCAATCCAGGAAAAATAGCAAGCACAAAAAATACAAATGGTATATTCAGTAAAATAACCATTTTCGTTAGATAAACCAACGATCTTTTACATATTAATTCATATTTTACTTTTCAAAGATATACACATAGCATCAACTCGTTATGTTACACATAGCATCAACTCGTTTTGTTACACATAGCATCAACTCGTTTTTGTTATTTGGAGCAACACAAGCTGTTTGACTAGGCTGGTGGCTCACAACATTTTAAGTCGTGTTTCTGAACTGTTTCAGCTGCATATATGTGCAAATATGGTTTAATATGCAGTACTCGTCTGGAAGTCAATTATTCATGCATCACTTGCCGAAATCATCATCTTTTCAACCTTTTTTGTCACTCGTGCTTCATCGAACTGTGTTCGATTGCGTACTTTAGAAACTACAATTACATCATTAAGCACCCTTTTCATCAAGTCCACTACAATTACTTTAGTACTTGCTCTTCTCGAAGGAGAGCGACTGCGGGCGATCAGTAGTCACGTGACGTATTATTTGAATAGAACGAATTTAACACAAACAGTTGGGAGACTGTGCGTACTAGTTGTTAACGAAACTCCAGTTAGCACAAGGACGGCACGATACAACTTCGGACGTTACAACATATATACGGTATTTTCACTTAACATGGTGGTAATCCTGAAATCTATCAATTTTGCTATGGCCACTACTGTATACTAGACTCAGCAACCGTCTAACACTTTAGATCTTGGGTGATTTCATAAAAAAATTTCCTCAGGCAAGTATTTCCAACTATAAGCCTGTTTATATCAGTTCAACAGTTGGCGCTGGCCCAATTTCTTGTTCGACACAAGCAGGTACACAAGCCTTCGTTCCACCAATAAACACAAGGTATGTTGACGAAATGATCTCGTGCTTTCTTCAACTGGTTCATAGCTGAAGTCTGATCGAAGCTGTTAACAACGTGTATCAATTATTACTGAACCATGAAGAACATAGGTAGTTTTATCATCAAGGGCAGTGGGTGCTCAAATATCGTACAACAGAAAGCTGCTTAACCAGTGATTAGAGTTTTTGTGCCGAAAATGAAATTTTCTATTCGAAATACGAGGACATTTTTTTTTATTCCAACCTACTGGATAACACTATTTGCAATGCAAGTCTATCTTCTGGATAACACTATTTGCAATGCAAGTCTATCTTCCGAGACACTATACAATGTGTAAGAATTTAGACTGATCTACGTTTCTATTTCTTCTAAAGTCATGATTGTATTTAATTTTACAATTTTCATTCATAACTTTTTGTAAATTAAAGAGTTTTACGGCTCTAGCTGTAGCAATACGACACCACCAAGGTAATATCCCCGATAAGTCACTTAAAAACTGGTTTACTAGTAACAGCTATAACAATACGAGGTTTCCAGTAATGTATCTTATAAGTGAAAGTGTACTTCTGGTATTTCACCGCTGGCTTAAAAAAATCACATTTCTAACTCCGGTTTTAGCAGTTTTCCTTTTGTTTCAGATGTAGTGTATTTTAAGCTTTTGTTATTACTATTACAGAATATCGGCATATACAAACAAATCTTTAGGTAAAGAGCAATTCGTATACTGTATAAACAAATTTCCTGGCTCTTCCAATAAACTTCTCTATAATCGCAAAATGTCTTAGTCCTTTTCTTGCACAGTATACCCATATATGTTTATTTATTTAGAAATATGAATAAAATTGTAAAACATACAAAAGATGAAACACTACAAATTATAGCATACAGTTGCGCCACTACAGCCAAGGATGTCAAAAAAACAATATTTTCATCTTTTCTTGAAGTTTAATCAATTACAATTTCACAATAACATGTTATTTACGATTACAGTAAACGCCAATTCAATATATTTACTTGTTGAATATACTTTTATGTAGTGTATATAAGATAACAATTTAGGTATATACATTTTTCGAAAGTCCGTAAAATTTTTGAGAAACTCAGAACGATAAATATTTCAAACCATCTCCTTAATTTAAATTCTCAGTTTTTCGCAAAACCCTTCAGTTGAACTTGTTCCTCAGAAACCAAACCGAGGGTTAACAATTGGGGGAATAAATACTAGCAATGTATGTTGTATACATAACAATATATGAGAAAAAGCTTTATCTGATATTTAGGGATAAACATTATAAATTATAGAATCATTTATAACTACTGTTAACGTACAAAAATGGGCTGTATTTTACACATCCACCTCAACTAAATACACAGTATTTGAAATGAGAATGCTTTGCCAAAAAATTAAATGACACCGTTTCACTAAATAAATCCGTCATAATATGAGTTATATCTTCAAGATTCTCCTTTCCATCTTTTTCATGATTTTAAACAATTATTTAAAAAGCTGCTACAACTTAAAATACAATAAATCGTGGATGACAATATGATACGTTTTATTTCTACACAAATGATTTTATATAATAAGTATAGGGCACACCAGAGTAGCTCTTTCGTAAAGGATACCACGTGACATTAATTAATAAATATATCGTTTTTGATATGTTTGTATATAAAGACTGATGCGCTTGTTATTTCATCCACATCTATGTTAGATATTAACACATCTTTTCCTCACCAACTATAATAAACTATCAAGATAAAGTGAAAAGAATGGTAACTTTTATACTTAAGACAATCGATACGACACAGTACATAATGGTACGTCTAATTACAATTCAGAACAATGAATGGGGATCTGAGATTATCATACTTTGTGTGTTGTCCTACTTGAAGTCAAAGGAAGATATTTCCATCAGATCTTTGTTTTGAAATATGTTAAATGCATTGTCCAAGGTATAATAATTAATAACATAGTTTTAAAAATGTTTTGGATACGCTCAATTTATTGTAATTACCACTGATTATAACAATACGACGCCCATTCACTTTACGCTTTGGTCCACCAAGAACGTGAATATGTTGCTAACTGGTTAGCTCCTTGTATATAACTTACGCACTTCCGTGTATACGATAAGGTATGAATAGAAATTATTTCAGTTGTTAAACAAAGTAATAACATTTTAGAGAATACTGCATGGATTTGAGGGGGGGGGGGCTTCATATTTCATGTACAAAACATGTACTTATAGGTAGTCCAAATATTAAAGATGTATGCCTTAGTGAAGTTACGTGATCGTATATATACAGCTACAAAGTTGAATAGCAAACAGTGTGAAAGGAAAGAAACCTGTCCAATAATCCTGTCAAGCGACCCAAGAGTTCCGGTGAAGGTCGACAGAACAAACCTGTAATCACGATTTTTCGCTGCGATTCTACCTACATTGTTTTCGTAAAATAATGGTTTCAGTAAATTAAATTTGTTTTTACATTACGAAATTTTTAGACAGAAATACTTATGTCTAGCTAGCATAGGAGATAAATGATAAGTATTGATCCCCAGTCTACATAATCCTTCATATCGGTCAAGACGTTTTAATGTATTTCTTTCTTTTTTTTTCATTGCTAGATACTTCTGCGAATTAAGTTTAACTTACTTGGTCAACATATTTTATTTTTAATTTAATAAAGTGTTCCCAATGAGGACTGTTTTCTCCTTCAAATTGGCATACCTAAAAAAATGAAATGAAGTTAGATACAGATTTGTAGCTCAGCATTATGTTTTCCATTTATAAATGAAACATCAAATTCTGCAGACAAGATTGTTCTATTATGGAATACTCAATTAACAAGTAACACTATGTTACCTGTTCACGCATTCTTGCAGTAGTTGAGCACCTAGCGACGAGATAGAAAACAAAAACAATAGTTAGTTTGGTCAACATCTTTATTTCAGAATCCTTGCAGTAGTTGAGCACCTAGCGGCGAGAAAGAAAACAAAAACAATAATTAGTTTGGTCAACATCTTTATTTCAGAATCCTTGTAATAGTTGAGCACCAATAATTAGTTTGGTCAACATATTTATTTCAGTCTTGAAAAACAAGATACAGACGAGGAGAGGGTTTCCCCCAAACCAACCTTATCTCAGAGAAATAGGATAAATAAGAGAATCATGTGGCTTTATTTAACGTTGCTCTCTGTTTGGTTTATAAACAATGTAACGTACTTCATGCCGAGCGCCAACAAAATTCAAAACTAGATGAACTAGTATCCTGGTTATTACTCTGGAAAGTTGCAATAAATCTCATTAACATCCAAGATATAATTGGTTTGGAAGAACAGGAAACAATTCAATAAAATCTCAGTCACATTACTTAATTCTGACCTCACGTTTTATCCCAACACAACAATCCTGGATCTCTTATTTAACCAGACTTACTTGGAGACAACATGTAACACATTTGTGCACTCGTATATTCCAAAAGATAAGCTTTTTATTAACCATCTTTAAACGACACGATGGGTGTAATACTGTTACTATTTTGTCTCTGTACAAGACCTTTATATGCCCTATTTTCAAGTATAGTTGTACGGCAAAATTATCCATGTCAGATACTCTATTTTCCTGTCTTCAAAATAGCAGCTTGACTACCACGCTATACTCCGTTACTATATTACTTTTGAATGTGCAACTTTATTATATGGGCAAAAGGTATTTTCAAAAAAAAAAAACGCAATAAATAGAACAAAGTTAACCGATACGTTTACAGTAATCTCCTTTACTCCAGAATCGTGGGATAAAATCTATACGACATCTACAAACAACTACCTTAGTTTCTATTGAACTTCGAGCCGTTATACTTTTCTACCACTCTTCTGCTACTTGGACCTTGTTATGTGTTATTGCTGACACCTCAACCACCCACTCATCTTCCACTCCAGCAGCCACTACGAACGTACTTAGTCAACATAACCCTTACAATGTTAGTCCCGAAACAGAGGATTAATACGCGAGATTTCCATCTGAGAGTCTTGGGTCTTCACTTGAAATAACGTCCACAATGAGTACTCATTCATATTTGAGACCCGAGACCAAAAGAAGGACACGGCACGGACCCCAAAGCATTATCTACAAATTAATGTCGTGGGGAGGTGGGGGACACTATTAGGGCATCGCTGGAAGTCAGTTTGAACAAAAAAATCCAGCATTTCTAAATCTCATTTCAGCAGAAATCGATCAAGTTTAATAAGACCCTTTTTTAAAGGGAAATCGATACACTAGTGGCTGTTATCAAGTTTCATCAAATTATCCTGAATCGTGATATTGTCATCATTGTCTCGCCGTGAAATAAGAATAGAACGGTTCAAGGATTAGAAGTAATTCATCTAGAATGAGCAGTTTTAGTATGTTCTATATTTCACATAATAATTTTAGTAGCAACAAAAAGATATTAAAAGATTAGATTTTACCCAATGTAAGATAATTATAGTTTTTGATAGGGCCTAACCACAACCCATATTCCTATAAGTAGGTAGCTGTTATTGTCCAACTTCTGTACTATCCTTTCCATAGCTCGTATAAATGTTTGAAGCGAATAGTTAGCTAATAATGTGTACCAGAGTTTCAGGAGGATGTAGTACTAGTTAAAATCATCATATAAAACTGGCCAAAGCAGAAAAAACACAACATACTTTTGGTTTAAATCCAACTGATTTTCACTACTATTTTGTTTTTAAACTAACGTGTGAAAATTTTATACTGCATTAATAAAGGGTTTTGTTTGTACTTAAGTAAAAAG